CGAGCCGGAGCAGTCCTCGTCCCGCCCCGCAGCATGTCCGGCAGCTGTACGCCTTGGTGTCCGAGACCCTCCGCTACGCCCCGGTGCTGGAGAAGCTGCTGGCCGGCGCCGCGCTGCTGCAGGCTGAGAAGAAGCTGCCCCCGCCACTGGCGAAGGTAAGAGGGGGCCGGGGGGGACCCCTCGGCAGTGGGGCCCTCGGCGGTGGGGCCGGGCTCACCCCCTTCCCCGCAGGTGCTGGTGTACGACCTGCTCTTCGGCAAGGGGCTGAAGTGTGGGGGCCGCTTGAAGGCGCTGGCCCGGCGGCACCGGGCTCGGCTGGAGGCTGAGCTGGCCCGCCTGAAGGTGCAGCAGAAGGTGAGCCGCAACGAGGACCTGCTGGCCCCGGCGCAGGCAGCGAGCCCCGCAGGTGAGTGGGCCTCGGGGCCGGGTGGCCTCCTGTGCTGGAGGGCGGGCGGCGGGGTGTGTCTGACCCGACCGCCTCCCCCAGCCTCCCAGGTACCGCGCTACGTCCGAGTCAACACCCTGAAGACTTGCGTGGACGATGTGATTGACTTCTTCAAGCGCCAGGGCTACTCCTACCTGGGCAAGGCGGCCAGGTGAGCCTTTCTTTCCGCCAGCCCGCCTTACCTGGGACGTCAGCGGGCGGCAGGGACCTGGGACAAGGCCCTGTGGGCTGCAGCGTTGTTGGTCTTGGTGCTCACGGTGTCCGGGTTGGGGTCTCTCTTGCTTTCTGCCTCTCTGGGTGCTGCCTGGTGCCGAAGTGGCAAGGAGGCGTGGGGCGAAGGGGGTTCTCTAGTGTGGGCATGGCGAAGCAGGACTCTGTGTTCATCCTCCTGGGCAGCGTGGAGGAACTGAGGGCCCTCTCCGGGAAGAAATTCTTGTTGGATCTTCATCTCCCGGAGCTGCTGGCTTTCCCTCCGCAGACGGACTTCCACGACAACCTGCTGTACACGTCAGGCCACATCATTCTGCAGGACAAGGTGGGGGAGCTGGGGAGCGGGAGGCTGCAGGGGCGGGAAAACCACTATGGGGTGGAGGAGGGTCGGCCCCTTCCCCCACGCCAGGGGCTGGGTTTGGGCCGGCTTTGCTGCAGCTCTTGAAGTCTAAGCAGAAATTGTGAGCGAAGCCTGCGGCTGTGGGGTTCCCCCGTGGCTCTGCCGCAGGTGCGGGGTGAATTGCTCTGAACCCAGCTGTAAAAACGCTCTGTAGGAGCTGGGGAGCAGCAGCTGGGAGGAGCGCGGGGCTGGGCAGAGGCTTCCAGTGGCGGCTGGTGGTGGTGGAGGACTTGTCCCCGTGTTGCTGCGGCTCCTGTGACCCCGCAGCGTCAGTCCTGCCCTGAGGAGGGGCCGGGGGTCCTTGCTGCCCGTGCCTCTCACGGGGGTTTGCCCTCCTGCAGGCCAGCTGCCTCCCTGCCTTCCTCCTCGCCCCCGCTGCCGGCTCCCACGTCATCGATGCTTGTGCTGCCCCTGGGAACAAGACCAGCCACCTGGCTGCCATCCTGAAGAACAAGGGGTGGGTGCAGGTTTGCGTGCTGGGGGGGAGGGCAGGGGGGCGGTGGCCCCGGTCCCCCCAGGAGAAGGTGGCAGGAAGAGCTGCAGCCCGTCACCCCGCCCCGCTGATCCCTAGGCGGCTCCGATAGTGCTGGGCCATCGCAAGGGCCTGGGGGGATGTGAAATCACGTAGGGGTTCACTTCCCAGCCCCCGACCCCGGCCCCGCTCAGTGCTGCTGCCCGGGGGAGCAGCGCCCGAGCTCTGCCCGCCAGTGTTGGGGGCTGCTGGGGCAGCCCGCCGCTGGGGGGCGGGGGCCCCCGGGGCGG